GTGTGGTTTGTTTGCCTATAAGTAAGCTGATGTTGTGTGGTTTGTTTGACTGTTAGTAAGCCCTGTGTTGTGTGGTTTGTTTGCCTGTAAGTAAGCTGATGTTGTGCTGTTTGTTTTACAAAGAAGTAAGCTCTGTGTTGTGTGGTTTGTTTGACTCGGCTATAAGCCCTGTATCATTTAGTCTGTTTTACTGGAAGTAAGTCATGTGTTGCATGATTTGTTTCACTGAGAAGCTTTGTGCTTGTTTGACTGTCAAGTAAGCCCTTTGATGTATTTCTTGTTTGAATGGAAGGTAATATTAAGCCCCAAAATGGTGGGTGATTTTTCTGAGTGGGAAGCAAGGCCAATGGTGTATTGCTGGTTTCACTGTAAGGTAATATTAAGCCCTATAACAGCGAGTGATTTTTGATTAGGAAGTAAGCCCTATGATACATTATTTGTTTCACTGGAAGGTAATATTAAGCCCTATAATAGTGTGTGATTTTTTCAATGTGAAGTAAGCTCTATGATGTATTGTTTACATGACTGGGGGGGTTATGTCCCTATAACGGTGCTTATGTTATAGACTAAGATATAAGATCTGTAATGTGGTTGGTTAACTAGTCAGACAGGCTGGAGAGATTCTTTCTAGATAAAGGCCTGCACTAATACTGAAACCATAAATTATAGAATATCAATAGAAGTGAAGACAAAATGAAACTGATTGCAGTTTATGTCTGTAAAGAGAATCAAATGAAGAAGATTAAGTTCTATTTTCAGTCTGGTAACTACACACAGTTGGGTGTACTTTGAAGTGCAGGCAATATTTACTGACCAACCTCGCTCCACTCTGACCACCTCTACCAGACTGATACTGCCTGCACTTTAAATACAATAGTCATTCCCAGATTCAACAAAATTAATTATCACTGAAGGAATCTATTTGGAATAATCAAACAATGGTTGTATTAATACATGTAACAATGGGCTTACTATACATGTTACACTGAGAGGAGCTCATAGCAACAGAGGTCATTATTTATTTCAATGCCTCCACTAGGAATCGAACCCAGGACCCCTGGCTTACTAGTCCAACACTCAGTCCAACACTCAACCAATCAAGCTAAAGAGAAGTTCTCTCTAGCCGAGAAGTATATTTCGGCTAGTATTTTACCAGGGATACATATTTATTAGTAATACAAGGGCTTGACAATAATGATTAGATTAGCTTGGATAATTAAGTTGTTGTACAACTTAGGTTAAATAGGGAGCTAAAATGATACAGACATATGTATAAATAGCCGTCAGATATCAAAGAACTTGAGTTGATGTTTTTGATTCCAAAAGTATTGCCTTGTACACAGATTAAAAATCACTTTGAGGGAGTGGCTCCTTGAAGTAACTAGTGACTACCTGATTGAACAACATACGGAAGGCTTGTTGCATATCATTCAAAGCACAACCTTGCCAGGACAGTCAGTCTGTTTCTCAGCTTCCTGAGAAAACATCAACTGCTAGGGGTAAAATGCATCAAACCTTAAGGAGCGTGAAACCTCACACCTCAAATCTTCACCTAAAGTAGCATTAAGCCAATGTTACAACAGATTATGATGAAAAAACTGGTGTGAGTATAAGTAATAGTATGTAAAGTCATGGAAACATCAAAAAAAGTGGCCTCTGAGTATGATAGAACCATGAGTTCCAAAGATTGGACAATAGGTATGACAGTTACAGACATACAGGTCACGTATCCATGACATAAGGTCCTTTAAACATCTGCTCTAGGAACAGTCCGCTTCTCTTTAACACTCATTTATCAGTTCAAGACTTATATGTTAAAAAAGTGCTAGATTCCAATCATGTTGTATGTTGAAGAGAACACCTGATTGCGTGATAACAACGTGTTGATTTAGACTGATGTGCCAGAACAGGAAGACTGGCTTCTGATCTACTTACATCTCTCTCACAACATAGATAAACTTCTGGTCAAATCTAAACTTTATAAAATCACATCACACATTTTGGGGTAAATATTGATAAATTCAATTAACAAACGATGAAAACACCTGTGAACAGATCCCAATGAAAACAGTATTGGAAGATTCTACATCTGGAAACATCTACATTTTGTCTATAGGCAATCTGCTCTGTACTAAACTACAGAACATACATCCATTTCAACTTCAATCTGGCATCCATTGGCAATGTCTTTAAAGAGTGAGCACATTAAATACAACCACCAGCGCTGTCTGTATTGACCTTTCTATGTGTCAGACTATATAGCTACTTTATCAAAAATGTCGAAGATTCCACACAAATTAATGACCCAGGAAGCTACACTACATTGAATCCCGATAGCTGTACTAACCACATTTTTTCTTCATTGAACCGAGGTTACAGAACGTTTCATTATATTCTACTATGTAGATTGCAAATATGTAAAAGAAATGACAAGGGACAAAGTTGATATATAAGCCCACTAATAAACAGGCAACTAACAAAACTAATATTTAGGGTGGTCAGACGGCGCAGAGGTAATACACTCGCCTTTCACCCAGATGTCCTGGGTTCGATTCCAAGAACGGATGTGAAAAGGTATGTGGTCACCTGCCCGACCACGTGGGTTTTCCCCCACTGTAGGGTTTATCTGAACAGACAACTGACAAAGCTGACAGGCCTTCTTTATAAACAGAAAAATTGACAAAAGATAGAGAATTCAGTGATATATTCACGGGTTTATCTAGAATATGTGGAAAACCAGAAATAGATAAATTTTGGACAATCCTGCGAGTGAAGAATTAAAATGACGGAAGAGTAAAACTATATGACATAAATGAAGATAACTTGAATAAAATATGACAATGTTGAGGTTAGGTTGATATTTCTTTCCCGTGATGGCATTGTTTGAATATGTGTTTAGTATAGACATAATAAAGTTCATTTTCTCTTTTTTCAGGAAACTTTCCCATGTTTTCAGTACATTTTCGTAATAGGAAATTTTTTTATATTCAGAGTGGAAAACATAACACTGCCATGTTCTGGTAGTAAGATTTGTCTAGATTAATTCTTTATATTTCTTAACTGATTTTGATTAAGATCGAGAACAGTTTCTAATTAACAAGACTGGTTACTGACAAAAAATTAATTAACTAAACAGAGATGTTTCTGCTGAACAAAGTTTGCACGTTCGCAGCAAATGGGGATTTCCACTGGACAGATATGTACAGAATATGTACATCAACTTCAAACAGGAGGTGAGAAAATGGCAGGAAATATTGCAGTAAAACAAAAAGACCAGTGTACCGTTATATATCAGGAATGAAGCCACCATTCTGTCTGTATCTAGATCAACCTTTAAAAGCTTTGCACATTACTTTCCATGGCATCAAAAGCAAAACATTGCTGGTTTTTAGCTGTAAGACCGTCCTCATAAAACACTTTAAACCTATTGTAGTGGACAATTCTGAATGTGATCATTATAAATGGTTCAATTTGTCCTGGTTAAAGCCTACAGGGACCAGAAGAGATTATACAAACCAGACAGTGGGTCACAATTCCCCACCTACAGGGACTCATATCAGAAGACTAAGAAAATCACAGCACAAGGTCAAGGAAACCAAAGGGACAGAAATAAGGTAATAGAAAAAGTCACAGTAACCACAAGGACTGTCATCAAGTCACAGAAACCGCATGGACTGTCATCAGGTCACAGAAACCGCAAGGAGTGCCATCAGGTCACAGAAACCGCATGGACTGTCATCAGGTCACAGAAACCGCAAGGAGTGCCATCAGGTCACAGAAACAACATGGACTGTCATCAGGTCACAGTAACCGCAAGGAGTGCCATCAGGTCACAGAAACCACATGGACTGTCATCAGGTCACAGAAACCGCATGGACTGTCATCAGGTCACAGAAACTGCAAGGAGTGCCATCAGGTCACAGAAACCGCATGGACTGTCATCAGGTCACAGAAACCGCAAGGAGTGCCATCAGGTCACAGAAACCACATGGACTGCCATTAGGTCACAGAAACCACAAGGACTGTCATTAGATCACAGAAACCGCAAGGACTGTCATCAGGTCACAGTAACCACAAGGGCTGTCATCAGGTCACAGAAAGCACAAGGACTGTCATCAGGTCACAGAAACTGCAAGGACTGTCATCAAGTCACAGAAACTGCAATGACACAGAAACCAAAGGAACCGTTATCAGATTACAGAACTTATAGAGACTGTCATCAGTAGCACTTTGAAGCCAAATATTGACTAACTTTCCCATCTGGGGCCCCATCCACCCCTGGGTCCCTAGGGGGTCAAATCAACTTTCTGGATTTAAGAAATGATTTCCTACTCAAAATGATATTACAGATCAAATTTGGTTGAGATCCATTTAAGGATTAACAAAGAGTAGCTTTTTGAAGCAAAATATTATCTAATTGCCACTTATCTACCAAGTCTTCCGGTGATGTATCTACCCAGTCCTCATACCCAGCCCTCAGGTGATATATCTACCCAGTCCTCAAGTAATATATCTGCCCAGTCCTCAGGTGATGTATCTATCCAGTCCTCAGGTGAGGTATCTACCCAGTCCTCAGGTGATGTATCTACCCAGTCCTCAGGTAATGTATCTACCCAGTCCTCAGGTGATATATTTACCCAGTCCTCAGGTAATATATCTACCCAGTCCTCAGGTGATGTATCTACCCAGTCCTCATACCCAGTCCTCAGGTGATATATTTACCCAGTCCTCAGGTAATATATCTGCCCAGTCCTCAGGTGATGTATCTATCCAGTCCTCAGTTGAGGTATCTACCCAGTCCTCAGGTGATGTATCTACCCAGTCCTCAGGTAATGTATCTACCCAGTCCTCAGGTGATGTACCTACCCAGTCCTCAGGTAATGTATCTACCCAGTCCTCAGGTGATGTATCTACCCAGTACTCAGGTGAGGTATCTACCCAGTCCTCAGGTGATATATTTACCCAGTCCTCAGGTAATATATCTACCCAGTCCTCAGGTGATGTATCTACCCAGTCCTCATACCCATTCCTCAGGTGATATATTTACCCAGTCCTCAGGTAATATATCTGCCCAGTCCTCAGGTGATGTATCTATCCAGTCCTCAGGTGAGGTATCTACCCAGTCCTCAGGTGATGTATCTACCCAGTCCTCAGGTAATGTATCTACCCAGTCTTCAGGTGATGTATCTACCCAGTCCTCAGGTGATATATCTACCCAGTCCTCAGGTGATGTATCTACCCAGTCCTCAGGTGACGTATCTACCCAGTCCTCAGGTGATATATCTACCCAGTCCTCAGGTGATGTATCTACCAAGTCCTCAAGTGATGGATCTACCCAGTCCTCAGGTGAGGTATCTACCCAGTCTTCAGGTGATATATCTACCCAGTCCTCGGGTAATGTATCTACCCAGTCATCGGGTAATGTATCTACCCAGTCCTCGGGTGAGGTATCTACCAAGTCCTCAGGTGATGTATCTACCCAGTCCTCAGGTGATGTACCTACCCAGTCCTCAGGTAATGTATCTACCCAGTCCCCATGTGATGTACCTACCCAGTCCTCAGGTAATGTATCTACCCAGTCCTCAGGTGAGGTATCTTTCCAGTCCTCAGGTGATGTATCTACCCAGTCCTTAGTTGAGGTATCTACCCAGTCCTCAGGTAATATATCTACCCAGTCCTCAGGTGATGTATCTACCCAGTCCTCATACCCAGTCCTCAGGTGATATATTTACCCAGTCCTCAGGTAATATATCTGCCCAGTCCTCAGGTGATGTATCTATCCAGTCCTCAGTTGAGATATCTACCCAGTCCTCAGGTGATGTATCTACCCAGTCCTCAGGTAATGTATCTACCCAGTCCTCAGGTGATGTACCTACCCAGTCCTCAGGTGATGTATCTACCCAGTACTCAGGTGAGGTATCTACCCAGTCCTCAGGTGATATATTTACCCAGTCCTCAGGTAATATATCTACCCAGTCCTCAGGTGATGTATCTACCCAGTCCTCATACCCATTCCTCAGGTGATATATTTACCCAGTCCTCAGGTAATATATCTGCCCAGTCCTCAGGTGATGTATCTATCCAGTCCTCAGGTGAGGTATCTACCCAGTCCTCAGGTGATGTATCTACCCAGTCCTCAGGTAATGTATCTACCCAGTCCTCAGGTGATGTACCTACCCAGTCCTCAGGTAATGTATCTACCCAGTCCTCAGGTGATGTATCTACCCAGTACTCAGGTGAGGTATCTACCCAGTCCTCAGGTGATATATTTACCCAGTCCTCAGGTAATATATCTACCCAGTTCTCAATTGAGGTATCTACCCAGTCCTCTGGTGATGTGTCTACCCAGTCCTCAGGTGATGTACCTACCCAGTCCTCAGGTGATGTATCTACCCAGTTCTCAATTGAGGTATCTATCCAGTCCTCAGGTGAGGTATCTACCCAGTCCTCTGGTGATGTGTCTACCCAGTCCTCTGGTGATGTGTCTACCCAGTCCTCAGGTGATGTATCTACCCAGTCCCCAGGTGATGTATCTACCCAGTCCTCAGGTGAGGTATCTTTCCAGTCCTCAGGTGATGTATCTACCCAGTCCTTAGTTGAGGTATCTACCCAGTTCTCAATTGAGGTATCTACCCAGTCCCCAGGTGAGGTATCTACCCAGTCCCCAGGTGAGGTATCTACCCAGTCCTCAGGTGATGTATCTACCCAGTACTCAGGTGATGTACCCACCCAGTCCTCAGGTAATGTATCTACCCAGTTCTCAATTGAGGTATCTACCCAGTCCTCTGGTGATGTGTCTACCCAGTCCTCAGGTGATGTACCTACCCAGTCCTCAGGTGATGTATCTACCCAGTTCTCAATTGAGGTATCTATCCAGTCCTCAGGTGAGGTATCTACCCAGTCCTCTGGTGATGTGTCTACCCAGTCCTCTGGTGATGTGTCTACCCAGTCCTCAGGTGATGTATCTACCCAGTCCTCAGGTGATGTATCTACCCAGTCCTCAGGTGAGGTATCTACCCAGTTCTCAGGTGAGGTATCTTTCCAGTCCTCAGGTAATGTATCTACCCAGTCCTTAGGTGATGTATCTACCCAGTCCTCAGGTGATGTATCTACCCAGTCCTAAGGCGATGTATCTACCCAGTCCTTCATAATTCTAAAATTTTTGATTAAATCACTTCCAAAGTTGATTTCTGATAAGAAGAATCACCATTAATGATTCTGTGTTCTCTTGTTCCTGATGCACTCAATGTAAGTTTAACAATTATTGTGTGAAACTCTGAAAACTTGAAAATGATAAAATAAAACTCTTAAAAATTGGTTGAAGTTGCTTGTTCTGAAAATATGTTTAAAAAGTGAGTAATAATCATATTTCATTTTCATTATACTGACAATTTCAGAGATGAAGGTCTGTAAATTATGAGGTCAGAGTTGAACACCAGATATTAACAGCAGGAATCATGTTTCAATCTTCCTAGCCATTTCTACAGTTTAATAATACACCAAAAAGTCACTTTTGGGAAAACTTTAAAACATTTAATTGAATTTGAATGGAAAGTACTGAAAAATCCATAATACACATGACAAGCGTTTGCCGTTTTTAGTCGAGATGGTACGGAAACTGAGCTAATAATGTTACAGTATTGGGACTGTTGGGGGCTAGTGGGCAACAGACAAGCGGTGAAACTCTTGAGCTGTCAAAAACAATTCTCCTTCCTCTAAATAGTTTACACACAGACTGCGTCCCCTTTCTCTTACAATATCAGCAATCATCTCATTCTTGTTTCCTGGCTATATTATACCCTTAAGCTCGTAGTCCATCGATCAATGAAATGATGGGTTTTAGTTTATGCTGAGAAACTGGAATGTATTCAATATTTATAGTGATGGTCTGCAAGTTAGTACAGTTTTACAATTACATGTCTACTCGTGACATCTGATAATTTTAAATTACTATATAAAGACTGTAATTTGGTGCAAATAATCTAGGAAAATCATACGAAAATATTTCCAAACTTTAATAAATGTGACAAATAATCATAAATTTAATGAGAAATGATACAGTGCAATTTTAACTATTTAAGTTAACGGTGGTCAGGATATGCAGTATGGTTATAAAACCAGAACTTGATATTGTTGGTAAACAGTAAACAGAAATTAAACCACCATTAATGATCACAGCAACAACTAGGTGATTATGTAATATATTCAGACATAGTTAGACATGAAAACAACCCTGAGCCATAATTCTACCAGTCTACATTCTGAAAACATTTTAACTCTCATTGCCAACAAACACACTGAATATTTACAGGATAGAGCTATGACCTGCTATAGCAATTTACCTGATTGCAAATGCTACAAAACTCAGACATTTGTAAATTGCCTTAGAGAAGAGTGAAAAAGTGTAGCTATGTAACTGATAATTATGTCCTGTTAGAATTCTGAAGGAGGAATGCTCACAGCTGTATGGCATGTGAGCGGATTATCGTCCTTCATGCTATTAAACATGCAATTCAATAAAGACAGAATCCTTTCTTCCTGGTAAATAGGATGAACTGAACTAGTGTTTTCACCATCTTGTATCTTATCTTGTACAGAACATCACAAGCGTAGACACACTGGCCAACCTGCTTTGTGTACAGAATAGCTATTTGCCATCTCTGTGGCACTTCCTTATCTACTGAGGAGTAAGGAATGCGGAGGGGAGAAAGGCCACTCTACACACACAGATAGAGATGTAGAAACTTACTGCAACACACACACTTAAATTTCATAATAAACACAAGCCAAGAAAATTAGCACCTACCTTTCATCCATCCAGAAACTTTAACATCTCAAATTGAATGACATACATCTCTTAACATTTCCTAAGGTGGTATAAAGGTGATTTGTTTGTAAACAGGTCCTCATAAACACTTTGTATAAATATTGCGACTTCCTCAAGGTATCTCAAGCACCAAGGTCTCTTGTGTTCTCACCACAGAGTGTTAACCTCACGCCATGCGCGTGAAATGCATGTGCTTTGGTGTGATGTATAGCCTGGTCTGTAGACGGGGCTGCTGCTTCCAAGCCCTCTACACAACACTATGTGACAACTTACTACTGGTGATTGACACAGCAAGAAAAAGGCATCTGCATGCGAGCCAAGCAGACACACTGCTGTCGGGACTGTGGGCTGTATCACTACTCTAAACTGATCAATATATTGATATGCTTTACTATTAAATAATCAGCTAATCCCTTGTGGTTAGCCTGAGATTGGTCTCTACATAGCACTGCAGAAGGATTTAAATACTTTGGGGAAATCCACACTTACAATCCAGTCAAAAGTCACAACCCCAGCACCATAAATGTAGCCAATATGATGACACCATCAAGTATAACAACAGGGTCCAAATCATCACAGACATAACAATGCAGTCAGCCAGGTCCTGTCCTAGACTTTATTAGATGTTTCAAAAATGACCTGTATGAGCACTCAATAAACTACCAGTTCAGAGGTGTGCAAAACCCTGACCAGTCTACACTGGGAACACACCCACCCTACACTGACCAGTCAACACTGGGAACACACCCACCCTACACTGACCAGTCAACACTGGGAACACACCCACCCTACACTGACCAGTCAACACTGGGAACACACCCACCTACTAAACAGTCTATACTGGGAACACACCCACCAACTAACCAGTCAACACTGGGAACACATCCACCAACTGACCAGTCTACACTGGGAACACACCCACCTACTAAACAGTCTATACTGGGAACACACCCACCAACTAACCATTCAACACTGGGAACACACCCACCAACTAACCAGTCTAAACTGGGAACACACCCACCTACTAAACAGTCTATACTGGGAACACACCCACCAACTGACCAGTCTACACTGGGAACACACCCACCTACTAAACAGTCTATACTGGGAACACACCCACCAACTAACCAGTCAAACCTGGGAACACACCCACCAACTAACCAGTCTAAACTGGGAACACACCCACCTACTAAACAGTCAACACTGGGAACACACCCACCAACTAACCAGTCAACACTGGGAACACACCATACAACTGACCAGTCTATACTGGGAACACACCCACCAACTAACCAGTCAACACTGGGAACACATCCACCAACTTATCAGTCTACACTGGGAACACAACCACCAACTGACCAGTCTACACTGGGAACACACCCACCTACTAAACAGTCTATACTGGGAACACACCCACCAACTAACCAGTCAACACTGGGAACACACCCACCAACTAACCAGTCTAAACTGGGAACACATCCACCTACTAAACAGTCTATACTGGGAACACACCCACCAACTGACCAGTCAACACTGGGAACACACCCACCAACTGACCAGTCTACACTGGGAACACACCCACCTATTTAACAGTCTATAATGGGAACACATCCACCAACTAACCAGTCAACACTAGGAACACATCCACCAACTTATCAGTCTACACTGGGAACACACCCACCAACTGACCAGTCTACATTGGGAACACACCCACCTACTAAACAGTCTATACTGGGAACACACCCACCAACTAACCAGTCAACACTGGGAACACACCCACCAACTAACCATTCTTCACTGGGAACACATCCACCAACTGACCATTCGACACTGGGAACACACCCACCTACTAAACAGTCTATACTGGGAACACACCCACCAACTAACCAGTCAACACCGGGAACACACCCACCAACTAACCAGTCTACACTGGAAACACACCCACCAACTAACCGACTACACTGGAAACATACCAACCTTACACTGACCAGTCTATACAGGAGGGACAGACTTTACACTGACCAGTCTATAAAGGAGGGACACACTTTACACTGACCAGTCTACACAGGAGGGACACACTTTACACTGACCAGTCTATACAGGAGGGACACACTTTATACTGACCAGTCAACACAGGAGGGACACACTTTACACTGACCAGTCTATACAGGAGGGACACACTTTATACTGACCAGTCTATACAGAAGGGACACACTGTACACTGACCAGTCTATACAGGAAGGATACATACTTTACACTGACCAGTCTACACAGGAAGGATACACACTTTACACTGACCAATATGAATGAAGTATTTGAAGATCTCCATAACAGGAATACTTTAATACTTGATGATCTGGAAACAAACTTCTTGTCTTTTTTTTTTTTTTTTTGGACTCAGTCTCACTTGAGTTGATGAAACCTATTTGCATGGCATTGTAACTAGTTTTATTTGGAATGTTGAAAAGTTATCACTATAGACAGATATATCCTGTATTATATTAGTTCTGGGGAGTGTTCTGTAATAAGAAATGTCTGGTTTCTGATGAAAATGTATGTAGTCTAGCACACTCGTTTATCTTTTACTGGTGTTCACATATAAATTTCCAAGTAAGATTTAAAGACAAACTAGTCCATATAACTCATCTCTCCATACATCACAAACAGCTGTTCAAAGTTTCATTATCTACAAAAACAATCTAAGTAATCAGCCCTGTAATAAAACATCCATACCTGGATCGATATATCAGAACTGTAATAAAACATCCATACCTGGATTCCCTATATCAGACCTCTAATAAAACATCCATACCTGGATCCCTATATCAGACCTTCAATAAAACATCCATACCTGGATCCCCTATATCAGGCCTGTAATAAAACATCCATACCTGGATCCTTATATCAGCCCTGTAATAAAACATCCATACCTGGATCCCCTATATCTACCCTGTAATAAAACATCCATACCTGGATCCCCTATATCAGCACTGTAATAAAACATCCATACCTGAATCCCTATATCAGGCCTGTAATAAAACATCCATACCTGGATCCCTATATCAGCCCGTAATAAAACATCCATACATGGATTCCTATATCAGCCCTGTAATAAATCATCCATACCTGGATCCCCTATATCAGCCCTGTAATAAAACATTCATACCTGGATCCCCTATATCTACCCTGTAATAAAACATCCATACCTGGATCGCTATATCAGTCCTGTAATAAAACATCCATACCTGGATCCCCTATATCTACCCTGTAATAAAACATCCATACCTGGATCGCTATATCAGTCCTGTAATAAAACATCCATACCTGGATCGATATATCAGAACTGTAATAAAACATCCATACCTGGATTCCCTATATCAGACCTCTAATAAAACATCCATACCTGGATCCCTATATCAGACCTGTAATAAAACATCCATACCTGGATCCCCTATATCAGCCCTGTAATAAAACATCCATACCTGGATCCCCTATATCTACCCTGTAATAAAACATCCATACCTGGATCGCTATATCAGTCCTGTAATAAAACATCCATACCTGGATCCCCTATATCTACCCTGTAATAAAACATCCATACCTGGATCCCCTATATCAGCCCTGTAATAAAACATCCATACCTGGATGCCCTATATCAGACCTCTAATAAAACATCCATACCTGGATCCCTATATCAGACCTTCAATAAAACATCCATACCTGGATCCCCTATATCAGGCCTGTAATAAAACATCCATACCTGGATCCTTATATCAGCCCTGTAATAAAACATCCATACCTGGATCCCCTATATCTACCCTGTAATAAAACATCCATACCTGGATCCCCTATATCAGCACTGTAATAAAACATCCATACCTGAATCCCTATATCAGGCCTGTAATAAAACATCCATACCTGGATCCCTATATCAGCCCGTAATAAAACATCCATACATGGATTCCTATATCAGCCCTGTAATAAATCATCCATACCTGGATCCCCTATATCAGCCCTGTAATAAAACATTCATACCTGGATCCCCTATATCTACCCTGTAATAAAACATCCATACCTGGATCGCTATATCAGTCCTGTAATAAAACATCCATACCTGGATCCCCTATATCTACCCTGTAATAAAACATCCATACCTGGATCGCTATATCAGTCCTGTAATAAAACATCCATACCTGGATCCCCTATATCTACCCTGTAATAAAACATCCATACCTGGATCCCCTATATCAGGCCTGTAATAAAACATCCATACCTGGATCCCCTATATCAGCCCGTAATAAAACATCCATACCTGGATCCTTATATCAGCCCTGTAATAAAACATCCATACCTGGATCCCCTATATCTACCCTGTAATAAAACATCCATACCTGGATCCCCTATATCAGCACTGTAATAAAACATCCATACCTGAATCCCTATATCAGGCCTGTAATAAAACATCCATACCTGGATCCCTATATCAGCCCGTAATAAAACATCCATACATGGATTCCTATATCAGCCCTGTAATAAATCATCCATACCTGGATCCCCTATATCAGCCCTGTAATAAAACATTCATACCTGGATCCCCTATATCTACCCTGTAATAAAACATCCATACCTGGATCGCTATATCAGTCCTGTAATAAAACATCCATACCTGGATCCCCTATATCTACCCTGTAATAAAACATCCATACCTGGATCGCTATATCAGTCCTGTAATAAAACATCCATACCTGGATCCCCTATATCTACCCTGTAATAAAACATCCATACCTGGATCCCTATATCAGACCTCTAATAAAACATCCATACCTGGATCGATATATCAGAACTGTAATAAAACATCCATACCTGGATGCCCTATATCAGACCTCTAATAAAACATCCATACCTGGATCCCTATATCAGACCTCTAATAAAACATCCATACCTGGATGCCCTATATCAGACCTCTAATAAAACATCCATACCTGGATCCCTATATCAGACCTCTAATAAAACATCCATACCTGGATGCCCTATATCAGACCTCTAATAAAACATCCATACCTGGATCCCTATATCAGACCTGTAATAAAACATCCATACTTCAGATCCCCATACCTGGATCCCTATATCAGCCCTGTAATAAAACATCCATACCTGGATCCCTATATCAGCCCATAATAAAACATCCATACCTGGATGCCCTATATCAGACCTCTAATAAAACATCCATACCTGGACCCCTATATCAGCCCTACAATAAAACATCCATACCTAGACCCCTATATCAGCCCTGTAATAAAACATTCATACCTGGATGCCTATATCAGACCTGTAATAAAACATCCATACTTTGATCCCTTATATCAGCCCTGAAACAAAACATCCATACCTGGATCCCTATATCAGCACTGTAATAAAACATCCATACCTGGATCCCTATATCAGCCCTGTAATAAAACATCCATACCTGGATCCCCTATATCAGCACTGTAATAAAACATCCATACCTGAATCCCTATATCAGGCCTGTAATAAAACATCCATACCTGGATCCCTATATCAGCCGTGTAATAACACATCCATACCTGGATCTCTATATCAGCACTGTAATAAAACATCCATACCTGGATCCCTATATCAGCACTGTAATAAAACATCCATACCTGAATCCCTATTTCAGGACTGTAATCAAACATCCATACCTGGGTCCCTATATCAGCCCGTAATAAAACATCTATACCTGGATCCCTATATCAGCCCTGTAATAAAACATCCATACCTGGATCCCCTATATCAGCCCTGTAATAAAACATCCATACCTGGATCCCCTATATCTACCCTGTAATAAAACATCCATACCTGGATCCCTATATCAGCCCTGTAATAAAACATCCATACCTGAATCCCCTATATCAGGCCGGTAATAAAACATCCATACCTAGACCCCTATATCAGCCCATAATAAAACATCCATACCTGGATCCCATATATCAGCACTGTAATAAAACATCCATACCTGAATCCCCTATATCTACCCTGTAATAAAACATCCATACCTGGATCGCTATATCAGTCCTGTAATAAAACATCCATACCTGGATCCCCTATATCTACCCTGTAATAAAACATCCATACCTGGATTGCTATATCAGTCCTGTAATAAAACATCCATACCTGGATCCCCTATATCTACCCTGTAATAAAACATCCATACCTGGATCGCTATATCAGTCCTGTAATAAAACATCCATACCTGGATCCCCTATATCAGGCCGGTAATAAAACATCCATACCTTGATCTCTATATCAGCCCTTCAATAAAACATCCATACCTGGATCCCTATATCAGCACTCTAATAAAACATCCATACCTGGATCCCCTATATCTACCCTGTAATAAAACATTCATACCTGGATCCCTATATCAGCACTGTAATAACACATCCATACCTGGATCTCTATATCAGCACTGTAATAAAACATCCATACCTGGATCCCTATATCAGCACTGTAATAAAACATCCATACCTGAATCCCTATTTCAGGACTGTAATCAAACATCCATACCTGGGTCCCTATATCAGCCCGTA